CATTTATTTTTATACTAAAATATCTGAATTACTTTGAATAAAACTGAAAATTATGTCCCTTAAAATAATTAAACAAATAGACAAATAAGGCACCAATGTTTTTGTAAGATATTTACATTTTTTAAGGACATTCGGTAGACTGATTCCCCACTGTTGGTTCAACCCCAAAACTTGTTTGTATTCAAAATTAATTATGACAATGCATATTTATATTGAAACAAACTGTGATAAAGGGAATTATATTATATAACAAAGGGCAAGGTCACCAGAGTTCAACTATGTTTTATTTTCATTTCAGTGATTTGGGATACTTTGAATAAATGGTTATTTTTTGGTGTTCAAATCTAATTTGCATATGATAAACACATTTTGTCCAGATTTATCTCATAAATTTATCTCGTATCTCATTAACCTTTTCATCACCAAACTTTTTTGCCCAAAATTTTCTGCACTTTTTTCTTATATTCTTCAATAGTTTTGGAAATAAACTCTAATTTTTTAGCCAACAGACAAAATTTGAGTCAATTTTTAGTATTTTCTCCAAAATATTTGCTATTTTTGTTCAAATCTTCTGAAGAAAAGTGCAGACTATAAACAGGACTATTTCGTGAATTTGTGATGAAAAAAGGGAACTGGTGGTGAGAAGGTTAATGAAAGTCTTGAAAGTGCTGACTGAGAACTAACATTTATGATAGTTTATTTTGGATATACCTGTATATTCAAAATAGAAATCAAATTGACCAATCCAGAAATGGTATTGTGACATATTTGATGCTGCACCGAGTGCATATATGGAGAGAATTGTGCAATATCAAGTGGTATACCCAACTTCGGCGGGGGGTTATTGCTATTATATTATACCAGTATATTGACAATTCGATAAAACTAGTTTACTTGTATCTACTATTAGATCATGATTATGGCCCTTGAACATGAATATTTATAAGGATAGCATGTAGGTGTACACTGAATGCATAGTTTGGATCATTAAAACAACAAATTTCCACATTTTCATTCCAGTTTTTGGATTGTAATTTTCCCATTGAAAGTACAGCAGTGAAACAAATCAGTTTTGTGACTCATCATACTACTTGTAACTGTCGATATTTGACGTTCAGTGGTACTTGGTTCGACCGAAGTTTGAGACGCGGCGGGATGCGGTGTATGTACATCGATCTCAGTCCAAACATCTGACCTGGATACCTCTTTGGTATAACCAAAGACAGTTTTGTGACAGTATGTCTGACAAGTTTTGTCGTTGTTCTGGGGTAAGTTTGATGGTGTAAGATCGGATTCTCGCATCGTTTTTGTGACATGTACATGATATGGCTTGTCTCAACTCCGGCCGTCGCTCTAATACAGTGGTTGGTGTACACTCGGCACAAATCTTCAGCTTTCAAAATTACCTTCATCATCTCCTGTAATTTATTTACCCATAGTGAAGAATTACAATACCATATATAGTCGTTGAACTCTGCATTTTCCTATGTTCTTTGAAACAGATGGCAATTACCTGGGTGCAATTTTGTCAGGTAGAATTCAAACACCGCTACGGGACACCGGCTGTTATTGGTGGCATACATTTTTGCCTGTGACTCGTAGTTTTTTGCATTTTTTTCCTTTAATCCCTCAATCTTATCTAGTTGGTCACCAGTTAAATCTTAAAGATCATGTTTCCTTTGTTGGAGGTTCGCAATCCATTTGAATGTCACAACACGAAGAACACAGCAGTCTGGCATTCGTTTAGGCACCTCACGGTGTTGAGGGGCAGTGGTTTAGGTTTGTGTGACGAACGACATTCACCCAACGACCGACACTCACAACTTGGATCTAGCCATTAACAAAAAGCAATATTATAGTTATATAATTTTTCAGATGTTTTAATTTGGTACTTTTCTCAATATTTGTTTAAAATTCAACCACTATATTTCCCTAAAAATACTACCGATTTACGTATTTCCGTATTAAACCTGTAGTCAATTCATGTTCCAGGGCCACTTTGTTTAGCCGTGCATTATCAGCCATTATACCATTAATTGCATATGTAAATTTTGTGTTTGGACCAATCAAATCGATGAATTAACATCATCAGTATACTGGTATAATATAATTCACGATATGAACAAGTAGTCATTTGACAATCAGATACAAGATGTCAATCATTTTAATGTTAAAAAATTATCATAATCAAGCATCAGCTTCTGGATCCATACTTCTGACATGTTTATGTTCCAACTATATTACTATAAACAAAACCATATATCTTAAATTTGATAACGGGGACTGTGCCATGCATGGCTTGATTTACAATGAATTATTCATATACATGACACAAGTGAAACAGATAAACTAGCAGTGTGAACTCAGTGTACTGTTACATAACAGAAACCACAACCAAATAACAGAAATAAAATAACAGGACACTCGGGTAACTACATACAGTAAGACAATATTGTTGTGTCGTGTATTATTAGCCAATAGAAGAAATCCTCAAGCTAGTGAATTTTTGTGGGTCGATTGGTACCCATGGTGTCTTCTGCTGACCAGTGGAAGTGGCACATGTGGCTACCCCCAATGACTAGACTTGGGTTCTCTTTTTGCCCTAGTCATATGCACACTGGATCTATTCTGCCTGGCATCCCACAAGTATGCTTGGCTGTACAACATGTACCAAGTTTTTTAACAAGTTAAACTGTAAGTTCTAATTATTGGTTTATTAGTTTATTTATTTAGTATTGGTTTACTCGTTCGAATGAGGACTTATAATTCGGTCTTTGTCCATGCATCTGTTCGTCCAGAGTCATATTTCAGAATCTTCGACCAGATTCCGTTCATTCTTTGCATGTGTCTAGTACTTTCTGTGGGACATATGCACATGCAGTGATTTAGCGGTTCAATTCAAAATGGCCGACTGGCAGCCATCTTGTTTTTTTGAAAATGTTGTATTTTGGACATGCTTTGTCAGTTTTCATTCAAATTTGGTACATAGATTATACATGTTAGGATACATGTTGTGCGTGTGTGTGTCCGTTCGTCCTCGCGTCCCGAGTCGTATTTCAGAATCTTTTGGACCAATTTTGTTCATTCTTTGCATGTGCCTAGTACTTTATGTGGAACATATGCACATGCAGGAGTTTAGCATTTCGATTCAAAGTGGCCAACTTGCAGCCATCTTGTTTTTTGAAATTGGCGTATTTTGGACATGCTTTGTCAGTTTTCATTCAAACTTTATACATAGATTATACATGTTAGGATATGTCCATGACAATTTGTTTCAAAATCGAATCAAGGATGGCCGATTTACAGCCATCTTGACTTTCATTCGTATTTGGCACATACATCATACATGTCAGTTTGTTTCATAATCAGATCAAAGATGGCCGAAAAACGCTGGTTTTTATTTTTGGCCATATTACTATATCTCTGTCACCAATAATCATTTTCATTGATATTTAGCATGTCATAAATAGAATACATGTACATGTCAATTCAATTTGCAATTTGATCAATTTGCTATTTGACTGGCGGCCATCTTGTTTGTTTAAAATGTGATAACTTGGACATGCTTAGACATTTTTGAATCGGGCCTATGCCTAGCTTACTCTTGGTGTTGGTGTTGCTGTTGTTGTCTTTTTTGACATGCCAGTTATTCTGACCTACGCTTTAACTCTGGGTGCCATTCACCCTCAGGGGAGATTCACATTGATGCTACTATTTGATTCGCCAATTACATGTCTCATTGCATTTTGCCACAGCAAGCAAGCGCCTTTTGCATATCTGAGATTGCTTTCCGCCTCTCAGATATGGTTATGAGGTTATAGTCGTTTTACACTAATAAACTTTGTTTGACACCTCCTGCTATGTGAATTTAAATTAGAGTCATGACAAACGTTAAATTGTATTCAACACATTATTTTGAACTGATATTTATTGAAACTGCAAATTTGAGGACACTGTCTTCACCATATTATTCAACACAAGAGGGCGCTTGACTTGTACAAAGGGTCTATTAGCCACTTTAGTCCAGAACTAACAATACAATTGCAAAGAGTTTCAATTGCTGTATTCCCTATCCCAGAATCTCAAATATGTTAACATTGTAAGCCCTATGTAAAGATTTATTGTAGGGTACAATGGCTTCAATCATTCATATTCATGAGATGTATGGTAATGTAATATTAGTGCCTCATTCCGATCCTCAGACTTGCATTTTCTCAAACATACTTTAAACAATTTTAGCAAGTGCAATGACATAGACATGCACCTCAATTTGTTTTACTTTCACTTATGATCTACGTTTTTCTTTGCTACGTCTTAAACCGGAGGGGTTGTCATGCAACACGTGTTCGAATTTGATGTAAATA